GGGGAAGGGGCAGGAGCAGCGGAAGGGGCAGGTAGGTGTGCATGGGGAGGAGCAGGAGCACCATGGCTGCACGGGGACAGGCAGGGGACACGGACGGCTGCGGGGCTGGCCTGGGCGGCACTGGCAGGGGTTGTCCCTGGAGGCGGCCGGGGCCCGCGGGGTGGGAKGCGTCAGTGCGGAGGCCGATGGGGCCGTGACGCGGGGGATCGGTGAGGGACCGGGCTCTGGGGAGGTCCCGGGCCCTCCTGGCCGGGCCTGGGGGTCCGGAGGGGCAGGCACGGGGCGGGGGTCTCTCTCTCCACGTGGGGCTGGCTATGGGAGCAGCATTCCGCAGAGGGGACGGGGTGTCCGCAGAGGGCACGGGGCGTCCATTGCTGCCCCAGCGGGGTGCGGTGCAGCTGGGGGCTCCCCCGGCCCCTCGGGCAGCCGGGGCTCGGGCCCGGGGGCAGCAGCGCCGGGCTGAGCGGACCCACGGGCTCCCACGCGCCGGGGGCTGCCGCTCGTGCTCATTGCCGTGCTCATTCTCGGAGGAGCCCTGGCAATGGGAAGGGAAGCTGGGAAACGGCGTAGGGTGGGATGGCTAGTGGACAGGGACAGCAGAGCTCGCGCATCCATGGGATGCCCATCCCTTCAGTGTGCTCCTTGGCCAAGTTCGGCCCAGCAGGGCCCACGGAGGTGGCAGAGCCACCCAGTCCCGTGCAGGGGGTGCCGGACTCCCCCAGCACCCAGCTCTGCCCGCAGCGCTGTGCTGCGTGCCGGGGCGGCCGTGCCGGGCCGGCTGTGCCCGGGGATAAGGCCGAGGGCACGAAGCCGTTTCCTGCGCGCCGAGACAGCTGCTCGTGAGCCCTCAGTCGGTGTGAACTTCCCCTTGCGGCCGTGCGAGCCCGGCCCGCCGACCGCCCCCGTGGTGGCCGCGCATGTCCCGGGGCTGCCGGGGGACGAGGCTCTGCTCCCTGCGGAGGTGCCCCCGCGCGGGCCGAGCCCCGCGGGCAGCCCCGCGTCCCCAGCGTGTCCCCTGTGCCGCAGCAGCCACCATGGATGACATCTTCACGCAGTGCCGGGAGGGCAACGCCGTGGCYGTGCGCCTCTGGCTGGACAACACCGAGAACGACCTGAACCAGGGGTGAGCGGGGCGGGCGGCCGGAGCGCCGGCCCTGGCGGGCCCCGCGCTCGGCCCCTTTCCGCCGGGCTTTGTCCCGGGACAGGGGGTGGGATTCGGCTCCTCCCAGCCCGGCAGGAAGTTACCGCATCGCTTAGGCATGAGGCTGCCGTCCCCTCGGCCGCTGCTGCGGCGGGGCTCCCAGCACGGAGACGCGTCCCGCGCCGGCTGGCCCTGGGGGCAGCGGGGGCTGCCCCGGCCCCGGTGTGTCCCGCTCACTCGCATCCCGCTAACTCGTGTCCCGCTCACTCGCATCCCGCTAACTCGTGTCCCGCTCACTCGCATCCCGCTAACTCGTGTCCTGCTAACTCGGCTTGCCCTCGGCTGTTGGGGCAGACCCGCTGCCAGGGTGCAGAGTGCGGCGGGGAGCTCCCCAGGCCCAGCAGCTCCCGTGGGCTCTCGCAGTGCAGAGCCCGGGCGGGCAGGGCCAGCCCCCAGTGCCGCGGTGGTCCCTCCCCAGCAAGGGGGCACGGACGGGCCCGCGGCGCCGCATCGGGACCCGGGGAGCAGGGAGCCGGGATGTGCCGCGGGCCCTCATCTCCTTTTAAGGCCCGGGCAGCCTCCTCCTCCCTTACTTGGCCAGGCAGCGTGTGGGGGCTGGAGCGGGGGCAGGCGCCTGCCAGCACCTCCGCCACCCAGCCCTGGGGAGGACGGGACTTGGCCGGGCCCTGCGGGGCCCTCCTGGGGATGGGAGAGCTGCGAGGGCCCAGCCGGTCGTGCTCGGCTCTGCAGCACCCTTGGGTCACTGGGCAGCCTGGGGCGGGTGCTCGCGGCGCGGCGCCGTCTGCCCGCTGGGCTGCGGGGCTGCCCCCGGCGCAGGGTCCGGCACCAGCTCCTCGGGGCCGCTGGGGCAGCTCGGCGGAGCTCTCGCTGCCCGTCTCCCCAGGGACGACCATGGCTTCAGCCCGCTGCACTGGGCCTGCCGCGAGGGCCGCTCCAACGTGGTCGACATGCTCATCATGCGGGGCGCTCGCATCAATGTCATGAACCGCGGCGACGACACCCCCCTGCACCTCGCTGCCAGCCACGGCCACCGTGACATAGTGCAGAAGGTATCGCCCCCSTCCCGCGTGCCAGCCCCACGCAGGCTGCCCAGAGCTCTGCCCTGTGCCTCCCGGGACTCCTGCGCTCCCCTGTCATGAGCTGTGCRTCCTGCCCGGAGGCCTCGGAGCTCCCTGCGCCTCCTGCACCCCCACAAATGCCCGGTGTCCATCGGCGCGCAGGGCTGGCGCTGGAGCTCCTGTCCTCTCCCCGGGCGAGCTGCTGGCGGGATGGCGATTTACGCTCTAGACTTACAGGGATTGTTCTGCCTGCAGCTGATCCAGTTCAAGGCAGACATCAACGCGGTGAACGAACACGGCAACACCCCTCTGCACTACGCCTGCTTCTGGGGACACGACCAGGTGGCTGAGGTGAGCGGAAGCCTTGGTCAGGGCTGAGGGGACTGTGGGGTGGGGSAAGGCGGGATGGGAGGAGAGCAGGCAGGAGGCTGGATGTGGTATGAAACGGAAAAGAAGAGGGCAACAAACTCTGTGAAGATCCTCACTTTCTTCTCCTTCAGGACCTTGTGAGCAATGGGGCCTTGGTCAGCGTTGCTAACAAATACGGCGAGACGCCCATCGACAAAGCCAAGACGCCACTACGGGAAATACTGAAGGGTAGGAGGTTCTTCCTCTGGCGCCAGGGCCACCCCCATCTGCTGCTGCAGTTGCATGTGCAGCATTAGCGAGCTCATGAGCTCACCGTGTCTGCACGGTCCAACTGCTTGTCCTGCAGAGCGTGCGGAGAAGCTCGGCCAGAGCCTCACCAAGATTCCCTACAAGGACACCTTCTGGAAGGGCACAACCCGCACACGTCCCCGTAAGCACAGAGCCTTTGCCTGGGGACGCGTTGTCGGCGGGAAGAGCATGGCTCCTCTCCGTGGCCGGGCTGGTGTCCGCAGGGAAGCAGCAGTCTGCACTGCTAACAGCTCCTCCTGGAGATGGGCAGCACCTCAGGTGGCTCCTGGCGGGAGTGGGGTGCCTCATTGGTGCTCCCTGTCCCTGTGCTCTCAGGGGATATCGGGAGGGAGAAGTCCCATGAAACCAGGCAGCTCCCACAGGCTCTCCCACCTCTCCTTCTTGTTACAGGAAATGGGACACTCAACAAACTTGCTGGAATAGACTTCAAACAGCTGAGTTTGGGCCAGAAACTCAACGAGAACCAGTCAGGAGAGGTGTGTGGGCCTGCTCGTCTCTGAGATAAGATAGCTCTGTTGCTGCAGATCCCTGCTCTCTGCCCAGCATTACTGCTGCAGTTCCATAGCCAAGTGTGGGGCCAGCCCGCCCAGGGCTGTGGCCCAGGACTACGTGCCGTGGGTTGCTCCTCTACTCAGTCACTGCTGTTGCACAGAGCTGTGGTCAGGCCCTCGTGGGCTCCATGCACCCCACAGTCCTGCGTGCAGGGCTGGGAGATGCTCGGGGATGGAATTGCCCTTCCGTGGGGACTAACTCCACTCATCCCCCTGCAGCTGTGGAAAGGGCGCTGGCAAGGCAATGACATCGTCATCAAAATGCTGAAAATCCGCGACTGGACCACTCGGAAGAGCCGAGACTTCAACGAGGAGTATCCGAAGCTCCGGTGAGCACTGGCATCCCGCGGGAGGGCCAGGATTGGGCGCTGGTGCCCCAGAGAGCGGTGCCTGGCAGGGACAGGGTGATGCCCTGGGCCGTGCACCGTGCCGGGCTGGTGCAGGCATGTGGGCRGCACGCACTGTTCTCAGGACTGTCGCATCTCTTGCAGGATCTTCTCACATCCCAACGTGCTGCCGGTGCTGGGTGCCTGCCAGGCCCCCCCTGCACCCCACCCCATCATCATCAGCCACTGGATGCCCTACGGCTCTCTCTACAACGTGCTACACGAGGGAACAAGTGAGCGCCGGTGAAGATAGCGAGCTGGGGGCAGAGGTTTGGGTGTCTGCCCCTGCAAAGCTCCCTCCCTGTGATGTGGGGAAGCTCTGGCTACAACCACCAGCCTAGCCCTGGCTTAAGCTTGGGCTCCAGTCCCCATTTCCACATCACCCCCTGTTACAAACACCCGCAGCCCCTTCTTCACATGCCCTCCSCACGAGTGGCCGTGGCATCACTGTCCTCTCGCCGTCTCCCTCCCCGCAGACTTCGTGGTGGACCAGATGCAGGCAGTGAAGTTTGCCCTGGACATTGCGCGCGGCATGGCCTTCCTGCACACACTAGAGCCCCTCATTCCCCGCCACCACCTCAACAGCCGCAGCATCATGGTGAGTGCGAGCGCCGCTGGACCCAGGCCTTCCCCCCGGTGCAGGACAGGCCCCCCCGTGACCGCTCCTCTCCCCCCAGATTGACGAGGACATGACAGCGCGGATCAGCATGGCCGACGTCAAGTTCTCCTTCCAGTGCCCGGGGAGGATGTACGCGCCAGCCTGGGTGGCACCAGAAGGTGGGCTGCAATGGTGGGCCATGTCCCTCCTGCTCCTTGCCTGCTCCTTGCCCCTTCCTTGCCCTCRGCCCCGCTCACTTTGCCGTGCTGCATTCCCTACAGCCTTGCAGAAGAAGCCCGAGGAAATTAACAGGCGCTCAGCGGACATGTGGAGTTTCGCCGTGCTGCTGTGGGAGCTGGTGACCCGCGAAGTGCCGTTCGCAGACTTGTCCAACATGGAGATAGGAATGAAGGTGAGGGGTGGGCAGGGGAAATGGCGCTGTGGGAAGCCAGGCCGTGGTTGGGTTTGCAGGAGCCCGCAGGGAGAGGCAGCAGAGCCTGGAGGCGGGTACTGCACCTGCTGGGCCTCTGAGCTCCACAGCTGAGCCCGGAGCTCTGATACCGCTCGGCTTCCCCTTTGCTCCCAGGTGGCACTGGAGGGGCTGCGTCCAACCATCCCACCTGGCATCTCCCCGCACATCTGCAAGCTGATGAAGATTTGCATGAACGAGGACCCAGCCAAGCGCCCCAAGTTTGACATGATCGTGCCTATCCTGGAGAAGATGCAGGAGAAGTAAAGGGAAGTGCCTCCCATGCGCCTGCCGCTGCCATGCTCCCCTCCCCACCCTCCCCAAGTGCCTTCTCAACCCCCAAGCCAAGGGGGAGCACGGGACGCCCTCACCCCCCGAGCCAGCCACGGACACACGGTACAGACACGCTGCTCCCCGCAGAGGTGCCCACGGGCTTCGGGCGCCGTAGCGCCGGCTCTGGGCAGCACCTCCCTGCTCCCGCGCAGCTCCGGCCCAGGCGGAGCAGCACGCCGGCCAGGCCGCTGGGCACGCGGGGCTCTGCCGGCCGGAGGCTGCGCTGGGTGCAGAGCCGTCCTGCCCGCGCTGCCCCGGCCCGGAGCAGCTCCCCACGCCAGCGCCAGCCCTGGTGCTCCTCTCTACCCACGGGCAGGGGGTGACGTTCGCCTGTTTGCGCCCAGCACCACCCCGGCTTCGCGCTTCACTTATCATTTCCATCCAGGCCTTGCGGAAAAGCCGCCAGCATCTGAAATAAACATTTGTTACGGAAACAGGCTGCGGGAGAGGGTGTGTACACGTGCAGGGCTGCAGCCACCGAGCCCGTCTCAAACCCCTCCCGTCAGGGGGCACAGGGAAGGCAGCTGGTGCTCCTGAGAGAAGCGCCCTGGCTCCATCCGTGCGGACAGCGCACACGGAGCAAGCCGGGCTCTGGGAGACACGTTTGGCTGGGAGGGAGATGCGAGAGGTGGGCCGGGCAGTCCTGTTGCCACTTTACCTTCTCTCCATCAGCTTCTGGAGGCTGAGATGGGCTCCACAACTAGTGAAAGCTGCCACCAGAATCCCAGGGGGTGARTGCTTTAGCAGCCGGGTCCCTGCACAGGACCATCGAAGGTGTAACACCGAGTTTTCATTTATGTGACAAAACCTGAGGCCTTTGCAAGCCTGCGGATGTGGTATTTTACTCGTGGCAGGCAAGGCGTTCACATGGGGCTGGAGACAAGCTGCCTTTGCACAAGAGAAAAAGGAAAACTAGCCCGGGGCCTGCTAATGGCACAGAAACAACTCTATGAAAGTCCCAAAGCCATTCTCAGTCTTTATGTGAAGTAATGGGGCTTTTTGACGTTGATGCCATATTCCGCAAGTGCCGGCGTCAGGTCCTCCATAGTCAGCGTGTACTTCTTATCCTGCAGGGACAGGGAGGCCGGTCAGGGACAGCAACACCAGCCTGCACTGCAGGGTGTTGCTCAGAAGCCCTCGTGGTTTGGGGTTTTCCTCTGTAAGTGGTGGTGACCCATATATCCACAGTTCCCGGAATCTGCTGCAGATCCCCGGCTTGGGCAAACAATAGTCCTTAAGTGCTAAGTGTTTCACTTGCTGTCTGCCCTAGTGGCTCAGCAAGCCCAGAACCACACTGAGCGCTACTCAAAAGCCATAAATTACATCTCCAGCAGAAAGCTCGGGAACCGCAAATAGCTGGTGACTAGGAGAATTCCCAGAAACGGTTTCTACGTGCTTACTGCCTGTTTATTTTTTTCCTTAAGCAGCAAGAGGATGCAGGGCTCCGTGCCCCCTAGTCTAGTCACAGGCTCGAGCGTTCCTGCGAAGCCACCGAGGCAGCTCCGTTAACGCTGCTGCCCGTTCCACGTCCTCACTCACGTCCCTTTCCCACCGGCAGAGCCTTGGCTCCCTAGCGAGGCTGCCAGGCTGCTCTTGAGGAGCTTTTCGGCAGCGCAATAGGTGTGAAACGGATTCCTAGGCTGCCCATCTCCCCCAGTGCCTGCGGGCCAGAGAGCATCCCTCCCCCGAGCAGCAGCTCCGTCCTCTCCTCACCTTGCTCTTGTTGCGGGAGCTGCCCGAAGCCGTTCCCTTCATCTTGCAGTGCTGCAGCGCGTCGTTGGCGATATCAGAAATGAACTTCTGAGCAGCCAGCGAGATCAAACGGATGCTGTCCAGCAGAGAAAGACAGGGATTGCTTCAGACGGAAAGCRCCGAGCCCCAGCGGGGTCCAGGCACCTTCTCTTAGGACCCCAAGTGAGCGAACCCCTCGGAGGGCCCTTGAAGCCGGCCCCACGGCTGCCACTTACATGCGGGGGTCGGAGGCTTCAAAGCCCGCTCTGTTCAGGTAGTAGCCGGTGACGGCGTCTGGGATCTGCACCAGGGAAGAGGAGAGAGCTGCTGCACCGTGGCCTGCAGGGGACACGGGGGACCGGCCGCGCGCCGCGCTGCCCGTTACCGTGGGCGTGTAATCCTCCAGCTGCATGAGGAAGTCCACGAGCGGCGTGGTGGACACCACGGGCTTCACGTCGCCGTTGGCGGCGCTCGGCGGCACGTAGACGCCGTTGGACACGGCCGCCTCGGC